GTCTGGGCGCGCCGGCTGTCGCGCTGCCGCAGACTCTGCCGCGGCCAGCACGGCCCGGAGCTGGCTCATATCAGGCGGCGCCAACTTGCCGATCTCACAGACGCGGGGCAGCAAGCGCATCGCGGCCCCCTTGACGAGCGCACTCGCTGGAGACCCTTTTCCACGGCCATGGCGCCCAACGCTGCGCGAAGATCCTCGGCGCGCGCGCGCGAAGGACATCGTCGGCGGCGAGGCCGTCGACCTCCCCCCCCAGCGCCTCCGAGATGGAACGGGCGACGCTCTCTGGGACGGAGTGCGTCTGAGCGACCGCCCGCGCGAGCAGAGAGGGGCGGAGCGGACCACGGCGGCCCAGAGCCCTGTCAGGTCACCCCCTTTGCGCGCGAGATCGGGCACCTGACGAAATCGCGCTCGCAACTTCGCCTGAACTTGAAATAGCGATTGCACGCAAAGTACTGGAAGAGGTGGGAAGCCCGGAAGAATCCAACCATGGCCGACCAGGCAAGCCGACTTGGGGAAACAATGAGAAGCAAAGTGAGATCAGGATGGGAGGAAGCTCATGGAGCTACAAGGGCACCTGTGGCAAGGAACATCTGGGAGAGACCACGACGCGGGATAAGGACGGAATGTCCCCCTATCGCCGTGGACCAGCCCCACGCGCACGGCCTGGGGATGGGACCACGCGGCCCCCCCGCCGCGAATTCACGGACAACTGTTACCTGCAACATGTCGCGTTTAATCCCAACTCGGGCGAGCGCGCGACCCGGGCGAGCTTCGTGCAGAAAGCACTCGGCGCATCCTTGTAGCCCGTGCCCGGCTCGATTCAGCGCAGGCACCGGGTCCGCTCATCGTAGGACTCGCATCCTGGAACCCGCCAAAGGATTACCGCGCTGCCGGGGGGCAGGGTGAAGCTCTCCTCTCCTGGCGCTTCGCCCTGCTCCTGCATCTCGGCATAGGCCATGCCCTGCAAGAGCTACTCTCGACGTCCACGGAGACGCGCATCCAGTCCAGGCGACAAGCCGCCTCTGAGAACAGAATGCGCCGAGACCCCCGCTTCGCCCCTCCGGCGGAAGCCCCCAGGGCTCCGGCGCCCCGTGTCGTGGAAGACCCTCTGCGCCATGCGGCGCCGGGTGATCCCGACGGTCTTGCCGCCCGGCCCCTTCCAGTGCTTCCATGTGAACACGCGCCTGCAGTCCACGACGTTCCGAGCGTCTCTGAGGGGGCGTCGCTCGGAACAATGGCGAACTCCTCGAGGATGGCGATGGCGGCGGCCACCTCCTTGGTCAGCCTCGACGCCTCCACTTGCGTCAGGAGAACGGCGTCGCGCTTGACGACTGCGGTCTCTACGGCAGCGTAGACCTCAAGCACGGCTGTGGTGGGCCTGCCAGTAACATAATCCCCCTCGGGGCAGCCAGGAACTGCTTCTCGCGCGCCTGGGCCCAAGCATAACTCCACGCGCCCCCCCCCCTTCGCCCCCGCCCCCCCCCCTTGGCGCTGTCGGCCAGCAGTGGCTCCGCCCAAATTATAATAACACTGCGCGTGGATGTGCTGACGTTGGTGCTGAGTCCCCAGGTGCCAGGGCCACTCGCGCGGCCTGCTGCCTATGCTGGCGGCCACGTGCTCGATGGCAACCATATTATGGCTGTCGCGGCCCTCCAGCCTGAGTCAAATCCTCAGCGACTTCGACCACCTGCAGAGCTGCCAACATCACCCTTTGGGCGCGGCTGAAAAATCACTCTCGGCCTTCGGGCATCACCGACAGGGCAGATGTTGAACCACCCTTGGCGACGCTTGCGGCGCCCTCGGGAATGTCGATGACGCAATGATCAAGCGCCCCGTCATGGCCCTGACAAGCGTCGGCTGTCAGTAGCCGTTCGCCACCCATGGCAAGTCGGATGATGCGAGCGTCCCCCCACTGCTCGCCGATGAGGCTACGGGCGTCGAACTTGACGCCGCCCAAGTGCAATAGGCGGGGTGGACATCGCCTGGGTTCCGAGGGAAACACCAGACGACCCGACTGCGGGCGCAGCCCCGCTAAAAGCCCACTGATCCCTGACCTCGCACGAGACGCGCAGCGCGAACGTCCGGCAACTGGAAGCATCTGCGGGAGTAGTGGCGCACAGCATCGAGGACATCAGGGAGTTGCCGAGCCTGCTCGGTCAACTGCTTGCCCTGCCCGTCCTCCCAGTGGCCGAAGGCCCTGGCTCCTGAGCCCGGCGAGACGTGCTCTAGGAAGTCCTCCGCGCGATCCCAGGCCAGGCCTGCTCGCGCCATGCCGGCGCCTATGCCGTTGAAGACGGCGCCGAAGAAGGTTCGCGCATCCTGCAGTCTGCAGACCATCTCGGCGCTGCGGCACACGACCGACACGTTGCCCCTGACCGGGCCCACGGAGGAAACAGCACCCAAGCCCCGCCCAGCCTGACACGTCTGACTGTTGAAGCGCCTCTCTCCAAGTGGCGCGTGTCCAGAGGGCGCGGCTAGAGCGGGCGATCGGCGTAGCCTCGACCATACATTGCAAGGCGATAGCACGGGTGCGCCACTACAGTCGGCGGGGCTGCACTTCACCGCCGGCAACGGCTCTGGCTCCAGCGACACAGTTGCCCTCGCCCCCCTCGTCTGCTTCGAGCAATGGCAGAGTGGAAGGCTGCCTGCCGAAGGCGACGTTGCATGGCGCAACGCTTCCCACGCGGGCAAAGCTGCTGCCCGCCAAGATTGCGCGGGACAGCATGGAGTCGAAATTGGCAGAGGTGCCTTCGCACAACAGCTGGTCCTCGGCGGCGCGCACCGCGTCGGAGCATTGCACTACGTCGCTCTATGAAACAAGCGCGCTGGCGTGGAGCACGCATGTCTAACTGGACCCCATGCGCCTCCTCCTCTACGACGTACTTCGTGGCATTCCGCCTATCGTCCACCATGAAGGTAGCAACTGATCCAAAGAGCTGGATCCATGACCTGTCAACTACTGCCACCAGCGTTGGGTCGCATCTGTCCGCGATGCCCTGGCCATCGCGCCTCCTTGAATCGCAGCAGGTCGGACGCAGCATCATGCGATCCTTCTTTAAGAGAACGTCGAGTTTAACGTGCTGGTCATCATACCTACCGGTCTGATCTCGCACTGCTTTATTTCCGACCGTGCGCCCCCCCTGCCTGCTGCTCCCCTGCGCCCCCCTCTCCTTGCCCCTGAGCCCCCCCCCACCCTCCCCGCGCCCCCGCGCCCTGTCCCCCGCGCGCCCCCCGCTCTCCCTGGGCCCCCCTCCCTTTATTCCAACCGTGCGTTCCCCCGCCGCCCCCCCCCTGCGCCCCCCCCCCCTGCCCCCGAGCTCCCTCTACGCCCCCCTGCCCCGCGCCTTCTCCTCCGCCCCCGCCCCGCCGTCCCCGAGCCCCCCCCCCCCCCCCCCCCCCCCGTAAAGTTGACCAAACCGTGTGCGCGTGTGTGTACCACCTCGGTTGTTGGTTTATTACTTATTATGTGCTTGCTTTCCTTTGGCTTATTCTTTTCGTCATCTCTAAAGGAATTTCGCAAAGTAGCGGAATACATAATGATTTCTGTTGTAGCAGACTACAAATTGATTCATTTTTGTAGCACATTACAAAGGGAATCCTTGTGTGGCGAATTACAGCTTGTTTCCTTTTGTTGCGGATTACAAAGGATGGAGGATTACAAAGGGATTCCTTTTTGTGAAGGATTACTATTTGATTTCCTTCGTGGGCCTTCCTGGTAGTGAACCAGGGGGCAAAAAAAAAGCCGGACGAAAGACCCAACCATACGTAGTTGTGAATACCGCAATTGTGGATATATTCTTCGGTGGCGCCCCCGGGCCACGAAACGAGTGAGAGGCGTGCCGAAATGGAGGGGTGGAACCGCATGCGAGCGCAGCCACTGGAGCGCTCGGTGGAGCTCCCTATGGAGCCACGAAACATGTTAGGGGTGTGCCAGAATGGGGGGGTGGAACCGCATGCGGGCGCAGCCACTGGCGCCTTCGGTGGAGCTCCCTATGGGGCCACGAAACGTGTGAGGGGTATGCCAGAATGGGGGGTGGAACCGCATGCGGGCGCAGCCACTGCGGCCTTCGGTGGAGCCCCCTATGGGGCCACGAAACGTGTGAGGGGTGTGCTAGAATGGGGGGTGGAACCGCATGCGGGCGCAGCCACTGGTGCCTTCGGTGGAGCTCCCTATGGGGCCACGAAACGTGTGAGGGGTATGCCAGAATGGGTGGAACCGCATGCGGGCGCAGCCACTGGGGCCTTCGGTGGAGCTCCCTATGGGGCCACGAAACGTGTGAAGGGTGTGCCAAAATGGGGGGTGGAACCGCATGCGGGCGCAGCCACTGGGGCCTTCGGTGGAGCTCCCTATGGGGCCACGAAACGTGTGAGGCGTGTGCCAGAATGGGGGTGGAACCCCATGCGGGCGCAGCCATTGGGGCCTTCGGTGGAGCTTCCTATGGGGCCACGAAACGTGTGAGGGGTGTGCCACAATGGGGGGTGGAACCGCATGCGGGCGCAGCCACTGGGGCCTTCGGTGGAGCTCCCTATGGGGCCACGAAACGTGTGAGGGGTGTGCCAGAATGGGGGGGTGGAACCGCATGCGGGCGCAGCCACTGGGGCCTTCGGTGGAGCTCCCTATGGGGCCACGAAACGTGTGAGGGGTGTGCCAGAATGGGGGGTGGAACCGCATGCGGGCGCAGCCACTGGGGCCTTCGGTGGAGCTCCCTATGGGGCCACGAAACGTGTGAGGGGTGTGCCAGAATGGGGGGTGGAACCGCATGCGGGCGCAGCCACTGGGGCCTTCGGTGGAGCTCCCTATGGGGCCACGAAACGTGTGAGGGGTGTGCCAGAATGTGTGTGGGAGGGGGAGGAGGGGGAAGGAGGGAGGGAGGAAGGAGGCGGGAACGCGGGGCACCGTCTCTTCAAAACGAGGACCCAACACCACAGGATGGTTGGGAAAGGGGAGGAGGAGGAAGGAGGAGGAAGGAACGCGGGGCGACGTCTTTTCAAAACGAGGGCCCAACACCACAGGATGGTTGGGAAAAAATGCACACGTCCGAGCGATGCCAAGCCACAGGCGGACGGGGGCGCGGCTGGAGTGGCTCGTTGACCTCCTCGAGCCCCCCCTTGCCGCGTGTTCGGCGGCAGCGTGCCCCTGTTTCCGCGAGGGGGCGATGTCCACGAGGGCCGCGCTCTGCGGGACCCAGCACCAAGAAGGCCATACAAGATGCTCCTGGGTCTCCCCGTGTCCACCACGATACCGAGACAGGGAAGACGACTCAGCAGCAACCTGGGCCCGCGAACGTGCGCTGCTGCTTCTGGTCGCCGCCGGAGGGAGGGAGGAGGGTTTTCCTCGGAGCCAGGAGGAGGAGGAGCGGGGAAGGGGAAGGGGAGGGGCGGAAGGGGGGGGGAGGAGGGAAGGAGAGCGGGAAAAGGGGAAGGGAGGGGGCGGGGAGGGTGCAGGAGGGAGGAGGCGGCGCGCAAAGCGTGGCAGGCAGAGGGGCGGCCATCCACAAAAAGGCACGAGGCACCTCAGACGGGAGCGGCCACTTCAAAGACGCCTCCCTCGGAGACTCTTCAGGGCGAGCGCCCGTGTGGCGCGTCGCCTCGAAGCTCGCGTCCCCTCCGCCTTCTCAATGGGGGAGCCTCCAGAAGTCGGCGGTGGACAAACCTCCCTCTAGCAAACCTCCCCTCAATGAAAGCGGCCTGGGACCGAAATTTACTGACCTGGACCCGCAGAAATGACGGCCGCGACGCCCTCTCGCGAACCGAAAACGGCCAACTCCTTAAGCGACGTGTCAGGGTAGGAGGTCGATCCGCCTCCGAAAAGGGCCGCCCGCCCCCTTGGGACCTCTGCCGTTATGTCGGGCGTGTCCCCCCCCTACAGGGGGATGTGCGACGAACCATAAAAGATACCCCAAAAATGCTCCAACAAACATCAAAAATTAGCCTGGCGAAGGACCCAACCATATGCAGTTGTGAATGCCGCAATTGTGCTGGGTGGTGGCGGACGCATGCGGGCGGTGCCACTGGGGCCTTCGGTGGAGCTCCCTATGGGGCCACGAAACGCTGTACTGGGTGGGTGAGACGCGGTCAGCGTGGTGGCGGACGCATGCGAGCGGTGCCACTGGGACCTTCGGTGGAGCTCCCTATGGGGCCACGAAACGCTGTACTGGGTGGGTGAAACGCAGGCAGGGAGCAAGGGCTGGGCAGGGTGGTGGCGGACGCATGCGGGCGGTGCCGCTGGGACCTTTGGTGGAGCTCCCTATAGGGCTACGAAGCGCTGTTCTGGGTGGGTGAAGCGCAGGGAACAAGGGCTGTGCTGGGTGGTGGCGGACGCAAGCGGGCAGTGCCACTGGGACCTTTGGTGGAGCCCCCTATGGGGCCACGAAACGTGCGAGGGGTGTGCCAGAATGGGGTGTGGAACCGCATGCCAGCGCAGCCACTGGGGCCTTCGGTGGAGCTCCCTATGGAGCCACGAAACGTGTGAGGGGTGTGCCGAAATGGGGGGTGGAACCGCATGCGAGCGCAGCCACTGCGGCGTTCGGTGGAGCTCCCTATGGGGCCACGAAACGTGTGAGGGGTGTGCCGAAAATGGGGGGTGGAACCGCATGCGAGCGCAGCCACTGGGGCCTTCGGTGGAGCTCCCTATGGGGCCACGAAGCGTGTGAGGGGTGTGCCGAAATGGGGGGTGGGGACCGCATGCGAGCGCAGCCACTGGGGCCTTCGGTGGAGCTCCCTATGGGGCCACGAAACGTGTGAGGGGTGTGCCGAATGGGGGGTGAACCGCATGCGGGCGCAGCCACTGGGGCCTTCGAGCTCCCTATGGCCACGCTCCCTATGGGGCCACGAAACGTGTGAGGGGTGTGCCAGAATGGGGGTGGAACCGCATGCGGGCGCAGCCACTGGGGCCTTCGGTGGAGCTCCCTATGGGGCCACGAAACGTGTGAGGGGTGTGCCAGAATGGGGGGTGGAACCGCATGCGGGCGCAGCCACTGGGGCCTTCGGTGGAGCTCCCTATGGGGCCACGAAACGTGTGAGGGGTGTGCCAGAATGGGGGGTGGAACCGCATGCGGGCGCAGCCACTGGGGCCTTCGGTGGAGCTCCCTATGGGGCCACGAAACGTGTGAGGGGTGTGCCAGAATGGGGGGTGGAACCGCATGCGGGCGCAGCCACTGGGGCCTTCGGTGGAGCTCCCTATGGGGCCACGAAACGTGTGAGGGGTGTGCCAGAATGGGGGGTGGAACCGCATGCGGGCGCAGCCACTGGGGCCTTCGGTGGAGCTCCCTATGGGGCCACGAAACGTGTGAGGGGTGTGCCAGAATGGGGGGTGGAACCGCATGCGGGCGCAGCCACTGGGGCCTTCGGTGGAGCTCCCTATGGGGCCACGAAACGTGTGAGGGGTGTGCCAGAATGGGGGGTGGAACCGCATGCGGGCGCAGCCACTGGGGCCTTCGGTGGAGCTCCCTATGGGGCCACGAAACGTGTGAGGGGTGTGCCAGAATGGGGGGTGGAACCGCATGCGGGCGCAGCCACTGGGGCCTTCGGTGGAGCTCCCTATGGGGCCACGAAACGTGTGAGGGGTGTGCCAGAATGGGGGGTGGAACCGCATGCGGGCGCAGCCACTGGGGCCTTCGGTGGAGCTCCCTATGGGGCCACGAAACGTGTGAGGGGTGTGCCAGAATGGGGGGTGGAACCGCATGCGGGCGCAGCCACTGGGGCCTTCGGTGGAGCTCCCTATGGGGCCACGAAACGTGTGAGGGGTGTGCCGGAATGACTGGGGCCCTCGGTGGAGCTCCCTATGGGGCCACGAAACGTGTGAGGGGTGTGCCAGAGGGGGAGGAGGGAGGAGGAAGGGGAGGAGGAGGAAGGAGGAGGAAGGAGGAACGCGGGGCGACGTCTCTTCAAAACGAGGACCCAACACCACAGGATGGTTGGGAAATACTAGAAAAAAAAGTCCCCAGACTATTTTTCTACTATTTTTGATTATTTTTGGGGTATCTTTTTATTTTTCGTCGAAAATCCCCCTGTAGGGGGACACACCCGACTTAACTCTACCGGGGGCCCTTCCGACCAGGACCCCGAGGCGAGTCCGCCCCCGTGGCGACGAAGGCCCCCCTCTGGGGGGCCCCAGGAGAGCAGAAAGCCGTGGAAGCGCCTCGGCATCGGCACGCGTTCCTCCCCCGGCCTCTTGCTAGGGGGCCACGTGCGGACACTACCCCCTAACCCCCCACGACTTCTGAGGGGGAGGGCGGGGTTCACTTCGCTCGCGAGCTCCCGAGCGAAGTGAACCACACCCTCCCCCTCCTGGCCATCGCTCGGACGTCCATTCCCTGTGCTTTTTTCGGTTTTCGTGCGTGGTCTTTCCGCCAAATGATCAAGGATGCTCCTCGATGGTCCTCGCCGAGAAAAAAATGCACACGTCCGAGCTATGCCAGGCCTCTGAAATCGTGGGGGGCAGGGGCAGTGTTCGCACGTGGCCCCCTATTTTGCGCGCCGCCGATGGAAGGGGCCGCGGCGCCAGGGCCGAGGCCGCGAGCCGCCCTCACGGCAGCATATGCCGGATCTCGGAGACGGCGTCGACCTGCAAGTGGGCAGCGGGTACTGTGCTGCCTCCCCTCCCTCCCCCCTCCTTCTCGCACCACGGTTTAAGAACCTGTGCCAGTTAAGGGTGGGAGGATACTATACGGGGGGGTGAACTTATGTCCTTGCTCCCTTGGTGCCCGTGCAGAAGTTGTTAGTCTGACTAATACTCTGCTAGCTGCAGCGCCACTCAGTCTCGACAAGCCGCATGCTTCAGGGAGGAGCCAATCCAAAAAATCCCCCTCCTCGCAGCAGGGTCCGAGTTAAACAGTGTTTTCCGTGTTCGTTTTGTTCTCGACATCCCCAGTTCTGTCCTCGTTCCACCTTTGCTGCAACACGAAGCCAAAACGAAACCAGCCCACGAGATTGCCAAAACACCGTTTAGCTCGAGCCCTGCCTCGCAGCCCCCCTGTCGGCTACACGCAAGAGTGACCCTGGGTAAGAGTGACCTTTGGTGCGCGGCTTTTTGGGGGGCGCGAGGATGCCAAACACAAGGGCGCCAGGCGCTGATGTCGCGACGAGCGCGGCGATCGGAGACCCCAGTGAGCGCGCACCAGAGGTCACTCCGGCGAAGGGTCACTCCTACGTCCAGTCGACCCTTTGCTCCGTTCGCCGCGACGTCCCGGGCCCCGGCCTTGCCCCTGTACACGTCCAGCCGGTCCCACCTGTGAAGGGGCCCACAAGCACACAAGTAAAGACACACAAATAACAAGATGCCCCCTATTTCCCCATATGTTTTCTGGGCTTCTCTCCTCCCCCCCACTTCCCATAATTATTTTCCCATCTTTTCCTGGGGAGCGACGATTCATTGTGTCTGTGTGCTTCTTTCCCTCCTGCACCTGTCCTCCGCGCGGCCTCCCCGCGCCTGCCCCGCGGGCGGGGCGCGCCGCCCCGCCGCCGGCGGGGCGCACAGCACGGCCTTGGGCGCCGGGGGGCCGCGCAGAGCGCGGGGGGGAGAGAGAGCTGGGCAGCGAGGGGCCGCGGCGGGCTCGCGCCGCGGCGACGACGGCGTCGGCCCCTGATGACGAACGAACAACACACACCCATACCCATAGGGGGGTCGTTGGGAGGAGGACTGGCTATGGGTATGGGTGCGGGTTGTCGGACCCTGGGCGCCAAGGGCCGCGCGGCGCGGGGGGGAGAGAGCCTTAGGGAGCCCACAAAGGACGTGCGCGCCCAGCTATGTACATGAGCACGGCCCCTCGATCCGTGTGAGACCAGCCGCTTTGTACGAACATTTGCGCCAGGTGAGCTCTCGAAACCAGCGTGGACTCGTGCACAGGTACGTCCTTTTTCCGCTCCCGAAGAGCTGGGCAGCGGAGGGCCGCGGCGGGCTCGCGCCGCGGCGGCGGCGGCGTCGGCCCCCGACACCGCCTGGACCGCTGGATCGCTGGCGCGATCGCAGGCCTCCGAGAGCGCAGGCCGCTCGATGGCGGCCGATTCCGGGGCGCCTCGGGCGCTCCACCTCGACCGATCGCACGCCGGGGTCGTCGCCGCGGCCACGCGGCCCGAAGCGGCCGTCTGCCGGTGCACATGGCGAATGAGGGGGGGAGGGGCAAGCTCGGTGCGCGTGGCACCACGTCTGACATCCTGCCCCTCCCACCCCTCCCTTCCCACTGCGTTGAATCCTGGTCTATCTGCCGACTGGGGTGTCTTACAGGACTCTGATCGCCCCCACGCAGTTGCAAGAATGGGCCCGTCGTTTGCTGCACTATCAGGCACATAATTTGTCGTTCGCAGCGGAGCGGTACTCTTATCACGGAATTGGCTGGCCGCCACAGTCCGCGTTGCCAGGCGGATGAGCAGGAGGCGAAGGAGGGAGCGCTGGGTTTGCTGGAGGACCAGTTCTCGGCGGCGAGCAAGAGCACAAGTCCTGAGTAGAAAGATGGGCAAATCTCGAGCGGGAGCGACATGTCTTTTGCAAGGCTATGCTTGCCACTTTCGCGATGAGTTCGCGGTCTCTGCTCACTCTGCAGGCGATGCCCTTCTGTGTGCAGTGCACTCAGTGCTGAGCTTGCAGCCAGCCTGTATGCACCTCTGGTTTCCAGGACTGCCACCCCCCGGGGGCGGGGCGCCACGTAGCAACATGAAGCTGCCAACTCTGCTCCGTCAGCTTACGGTAAACTCACTGACACTTTAGTCGACTCATCGCCTTCAGCAAAACGCGCGCGCGAGCGTTGCGGACTGCAACGCGTAACAGCCAAGTCCCAACACCACCACAAACCGCGAAGACTACATGCGCGAAGGCGTACCCCTGCCAGCGCGTGGGCATGAAAGCCACTGAGCGAACACATTGTAATGCTATGGGCGCTGGCCAACATTACAGCGTCCACATACCATGGTGAAAATTGAGTGCGTCATACATTAGTCCCACAAACGAGACATCAACAAATGTAGGAAGCATTGGCAGCACAGTTGCCATTCGACAGACCCTACTGACGGAAAGATGTGTTATTCGTCACTGGAGAACGTTACACTCTGATCTCGAGCTATCCCACTTTAGCGCTTTGCTGGCGGGAACTAGCTGGACGTGTACGCAGATCCGCCACAGTGCCTTCAGCACGAAGTGGAGTGCCCCAAGGCTCATGCGGGTGTATGAGTTCGGCGGGCTGTGCCAGTTGGGGGACCCAGAAGACCCCAAGACTGCCTTCGATGCCCGACAACCCAAGAGGCCCCCAAGAAGCCTCAAAAGGCCGCCGAGAGGCCCAAAGGCTCCGAGAGGCCAAAACCGGTGTCCCCACAGTTGATGGAGGATTTTAGCGTGCTCACCTGTTCGGGATTGCGACGCATCAAGACGGCGAAAGAGGCCTCCAAGATACCACCAAGACGACCTAAGAGGGGCCCCGGACGGCCCTAAGAGCGGAAACTCGAACTGACAGTTCGCGCCCTCCGCCCCAAAATGGCCCCAAGGACTCCACAGGCATCCACGAGGCCTCTGACCTGCAACCTGGCCTCGGTGGCTTCATCCTACAACGCTTTTGCTGGGCACTTGCCAAGTTATGACATCGCATGAGACACAACCGTTCGCTGCCTATCATCCAGATCATGCAGTTCCCAACGCCCTCAATGTTATGGAGCCACTCCTCTGCACACGACAGGTGTATTCTGGCATGTCGGATATCACTGCCAGTGGTTGTCCCATTTCCATGCGAAGCGTCTGCTGCCTTAGCCCAGCTGTTCAAAGACACAGTAGCATATTCCGAGCATTTTGTCAATCGGCCGTCAAGCGATAGGCTAGTATCAGAAAAGGATATATCGACACAGCCAGATAAAATAAACATAATATTCAACCTTAGAGGATGTGTTATACGCTTCGCACGTGTTGCCTTCATTGCTGATTAATTCCCCGTGAAGCACAGCTGATCTGCCAAGTGAAACGGTGAATTACTCAACAGGTCCAATGGAATCCCTTGATTCGCATACGTTCCCTCATCCACCAAGCCCAATTGCCATGGGTAATATGCTTCCTCACGATGCAGCTTTCAAAGAAAATGTAGCCGGCGCTGAGGCGAAAGCACCAGTGCGCCGTTGGGGTCAAACAATCATGGTTGGTGTTATTATGAGCCAAGCTCAACTACAACAACAGTGAACAAATAAAACAATGAGGAGCGGAGAACGGAGGAGAAAGCGGGAGGAGGGAGACTAATTCAGCTGCTTACACCCCCACTTCAGTGTATTCATGACAGGTCTGGCCTCCCCGGTCTAACGACGGCTGGCGGGATCGGGGTCGACCCCGAACGCAAGACCAGCAAGCTGTGTAAATTAGAAATACTTTCCACTACAAGCTCGAAAAGGCATGCGGCTGCTCAGAGGTGGCCGAGCGCTGGGACACCGTGGCTCGTGCACGACATCATAAAACCACCAGATGGAGGTGACTTGTAAGGAACCGCAAGATGAGACTGATCAGCCGACTTGGACAAGCAGGCACTGGGATGGGGCAGTGGAAGATACGCAGAAAGCGTGACGATGAAAAAGATGGGCCCCAAGACAAGGCGAGGGGAAGCTGGACAGACCGCGACAGGGGGGGGGCCCAGCAAGGGGAGACTTCGTCCTGCCCTGGCGTTTGGGATCGGAGTCCCGTGACCTCGATCGGTGCTCTTTGCCCGACGTCCTGGTGATGACTACTCAAGCCTGCCGTTCTGAGAGCGGCCCGCCAGAGAGCATAGCCACGTTCTTGGGGGCCTGAGCGATCCCGAGCTCAGGGGTAGCAAGCTTCTTCTGGGCCTCCGCAGACGCAGGTGGAGTGGTATCTGGGTCAAGACTGGCAGTGGGCAGCGCTACTTGTAGCGACAGGAGCTACGCTGTAAGGCCAGCGGTGGCCGGTAACGGTGCAACTTGGCCATTTATCAAATTTGAGCGGCGTTGGCTCTATTGACCCGTACCCGTTCACCCAGGGGACAGGATCCTCTTCTAGTACGCTGCTGCGCGCCCTGCGGCGCCAGCCGCACACGGGCCTGTGGCAGGTGGCAGCAGTCACACACAGGGGGATGCGGCAGTGACCGCCCACAGCCTTGACACGCGCTCCAGGACAGGCAGTCGCCAGCAGTGGATCCGAAGTCGGGTGCTCACAGGGTCGCAGACGCTCACGAGGTGCCCGTCGCGGGCCTCGAAAAAAAGTCGGGCGGAGCTGAGAGTGGCGGACGCAGCCCGTGCCCCCTGGAGGCGGGAGCCCTCCGCAGCAGGCGCCGCGACGGCGGCGCCCGCTGCACGACGAGCTGCGCTGGCGCAGGCGGCCGGCAACCGCCACGGGACGAGAGGCCGCCGCTGGGGAGTGAAGCCTCGCTCCTGACTACCTACCAGACCACCCCAACCCAACCCGAAGACCCCAATTTCGGGTTGGGAAGGGTACGGGTTCCATGTGTTTTTTCAGTGTTCCCCGACCACCCCCCCACTGGAAATGGAGGGCAAATTGAGGCCTTCGGGTTGGGTTGGGGTGGTTTGGTGGGTGGTGAGCTCCCCCCCCCCCAACCCCCCGGTTGCCAGTCATCCCCCTCTGCCCCCGTGAGCACTCCATCCATTCTGGACCGGCGACTCCATCATCGGGACGACCGACATGGGTACTGAAAGGAAGGGTACAATGCCCAACAGCAGTTCCTGATCATTTTGAACAGGACTCGCTGTCCGCGCCGCCGCGACCTGTGTACATTTGAGACAGAAGGCCGCCTACCCAACAGCGGCCGCTGCTGGTTTGGGACAACGTTTGTTGTTGGGCATTGTACCCATTTTTTCCGTACCCATTTCGGGCGTCCAAACATCAAGCGCACTCCACCGCGGCGCCATGCCTCCTCCGTCACTCGCGCTGCTGCGATGGCGCACAATTCCAGGCCAGGCCGGGCGCTCCATGCCCCCAGGGCGGGCGGCGGGACTCCATGGGTCAGGCCTCCACCCCCCGCCTTCGCCCTTCATGAGCTCTGGACGCTCCTGGAAACAAGGTATGCAGTGCGGATGCGGTCGCAAGAAACCCTCGCAAAAAAAAACAGCCCCAAAAGTCGCCCGCAAGATGCACACGGGGGGTGGACCCAGAGCACCCTGAACGCAGCAGCTCCTCCAGCGGCTGCAGGAAGTCACCGCGCAACACGCGGAGTAAAGAAACCCAGGGTACCCTGACGAAAAGCATCTGGTTCCTTGATACGCGTCCCCACTGTACCAGTATTTGTTCTACGCGAAAGCCGTTTCAGATGAGGACATGCCCTGTGAGCATTGCAGAAAATCTGCCGATCCATCGCGACCACGCGCGCTCCAGGTGAGAGGAAGCCTCAATGCGAGTTCACCTTAGAAACGTGTCGGCGACATGTGTTGTAGAAGAGGGGGACGAGGCGAGAGGAAGCGAAGAACATGCACGCTAGATGTCAACGTCTCTCTAAGATGGTATTGTCCGTTTGAGCCTCCCTACAATCATCGCTGCTGACGCCCTGGTTTCCGTTGCAAGTCTAGGTTCTGTCGATGAACGTATACGCGAAGCGCCCACGCGAGGCGCCTTGCCGCAGATCTGCGACATCATCACAGAGACGTCTGGCAGTGGCCGGATTCCTTTGCTGGGGGGTGGGCGGCGTGACTCTCCTGACCTCGCTCGACGGGATGAAGCACAAAACGAACACGTGATCTCGGAACCATGCTGCCACCTTCCCCCACCCTACCACACAAACTTCCGCCACACAGCTTATCGCCGCGCATTTGCCTACCCCACGCCCCCCGGCCGAGGATCCCAGCACACCCTCCCCTGTGCGACGCACAGCGAGCGGGTCTGCACAGTTCAGGCGATCCCCTTCGATTCGGGCAAGAGTACGGACATAAACTGCATAAGCGTGAACGCATACTCGCATTAATGCTTTTATGCGAAAACCCAGGGGGGGCGAAAACCATCGAACACCAGTGGGAAATCAATTATACGGGCTTCCGAGGCGCTTCGGCTGCAGACCGCCTCGCCGGAGCTTCGAGAGGCCAAGAGAAGCCCCCAGAACGTTCCAGGATGGTGCGAGACAGGGACCCGGGACGGCCCTGAGACTACCCGATATCCCCACAAAACGACCACGGCCCGAAGACTGACCTCCAAGAAGGTTCAGTCGAGTCGACCCTCTTCGAAACAGCTCAATCAAAAAAATGCGCACATGACGGTCCCGAGACGACCCAACGGAGCACCAACGGAGCCCCAACAGGCACACCAGAGGCCCCCAGGAAGGCCCTAAGAGGCCCCCCGGGGGGCTCAAGAAGCCTCCACGAGACCTACAATAAGAGTTCTATGGGGAAGGAAGCGGGGGAGGAAGAGGAAGAGGAGGACGACGAGGAGAACCTCGATTCCCGACCCTTTGTGCTCACCCTCTCCAGATCAGGCTGACGGCCAACGACCCTGATAATCCGGAGAAATCTAATTTCAGAAGCCTATGGCTCTGGCCTCGAGCAACTCCAGGCTGGAGAGCGAGTCGCATCAGAAACATCTGGCCTCAGTAGCCTCTGGCTGGGGCTGGTGGTGATATTTTTTTCGTTCGCAAGCGCACTGGGATGCCGGGCGCCGTCAAGAAACGCGGTTGACTAGCAACGGCCTAGATTCCGCGGCACGAAGGGGAAGGAAACCAAGCGGAGGAAGAAGCGAAGAAAGAGCACACAGGAGCGAGCTACGCTGCAGCTCAGGAGACGCGGTAGACCAGGAAGAACCACTGGTCAAGGCGCAGCAACAAAATGGCGAAATTCATGATGTCCACGTGCTCGATGACGGCCGGTGGGGATACTTTTCCTCGCGGGCGCGAGCGAAAGCGCAGGCGCCGAGTTGAAAGGTCCGGGCCACGGGCCGATCTAATTAACACGCGCGGGCGAGGCCGCCTACGGCGTGAGGGGAGGAGCAACGCGCGAGCCTAAAAGCACAGCGACCGAGCGCGGGATCAGAACCTACCGCCGGGGAGGCAGCTGGCTGAGGCTGAGCTGGCTGAGCTGGCTGCAAATGGCTAGGGTAGCTGCTGTACACGTGCGGGTGAATTGGATCCTGCACGCCAGGAGATGTCGTGACCTGTTCTGTACCTTCAGACCAAACGTACGCCCAGCGAGGAGGTGCCACCGGACGGTCAGACCCGGGAAGGCGACGCGCAACCAGGAAGAACAGAGTCCGAAAGGTGCAGACGCGCTCGAACTCAAAGTGAGTACCGTGGGAGGAAATCACCAGGTACGCTGCCGGACCTTGTCGCCACCAGGCGCCAGGGGTCGGGGCCACAGCTGTGGCTAGGTACGTGCCAAGACCAGTCGGTAACGATGCGCCAGTGGGGGGGGCGCTGACCACTGCAAGAAGGCTGAACCACTCCTGAGTACGACGGCAGACGTAACCCCATAGGGCCAGCATCAGACACGGCCGGCTGAGGCAAATACTGTAGACCAGATGCCCAGGGATTGCAGACGCAAACGTGGGGACTGGCAAGGGGGCGTGTGTCGGGGACGCCGCACAGAGGGAACCGCGTTTTGCGCGGGATGGGGAGGCCGGGGCAGGTGGGAACTGACATCACCTGCCGGCGAGGGGAAAGAAACGTCCTCCAGGACTATCCAGCGCCAGGGGACGGCTGATGGCCGTAACAGCGATGCAAGTCAGACTGCCGGTACATACGGCTGATGGCCGTCCCGTCCTTCTTGTAGAGAGAGAAAAAGAGAGAGAGAGAGAGAGGGACCAGAAGAGAGAGAGAGAGAGAGCGCGCCAGGGGACGGCTGATGGCCGTAGGAGCAATGCACGTCGGAGACGGCAGGGACGTACGGCTGATGGCCGCCTCCTCCTTTCCAAGAAAAGAGAAAGAGAGAGAGAGGGAGAGGGAGCGCCAGGGGACGGCTGATGGCCGTAAGAGAACTGGGAAGGTGGGCACGTCCGATGGCCGTTTGCCGGAGACGTCCAGGCCAGGGAACGGCTGATGGCCGTTTGAGCACTGCACGTCCGAGACTGCAGGAACATACGGCTGATGGCCGTCCCGCCCATCTTAGTATAGAGAGAGAGGGGAAAAAAAAAAAAAAAGGAGAGCCAGGGAGCGGCTGATGACCGTAAGAATAGTGCTGAGAGGACTGGGGAGCGCCCCGGGGCACCAATTTCTGCTGTCCCACCGGTGCCGAGAGCCCTGTCTTTGGCGACGAGCTCGTCTGCCGGCTGCTGCTCTGGCGGCGTGCGCCGGCACGAGTATTGACACGTACGCTGTTGGCAGTCCCTGGGCTGTGGGGGCGGCGCGGAGCCCGCGTTACTCCTCCGCAGAGTTGTGGCGCTGCTGGGTCGGGTCAGCTGTCTGCGGGTCCACCTGATGAACGACACCCGTGGTCAGCTGGTACAACTGGACGGTGTACGCGTACCCAGGACGGGACGCTGCGCGGAAGCAACCAGGGCGGTCGGACCGCTGTGAACGCAGGACCATACAGCTGATGGCCGTCACGTCTTTCCCAGTGGAGACAGAGAACGAGAGAACCGAGACAGGGGGACGGCTGATGGCCGTATGAGCAATGCACATCGGAGACTGCAGCGCCTACAGCTGATGGCCGTCACACCTTTTTCCACAGGGGACGGCTGATGGCCGCATGGGCAATGCATGTCCGTGACTGCAGGTACATACGGCTGATAGCCGTCCCATCCAATTCAGTAGGGAGAGAGAGAGAGAGAGAGCGAGACGGAGAGCCAGGGAAGCGTCCAGAATTTCGAGGCGGATCCGTAGCGACAAAAAGACCCTCCCGTTCGATCCTCCTCGAGCTCAGTCCCTTCCCCTTCCTGATGGGGAAACATCAGTGAAGGACAGGCTGAGGTGGGGAAACAACATCCTGGAATTGGCGATACGTCGCCGTTTGGTCGGCAATAGGCCGCAAAAAGCTGACCCGCACGTTCCCGGGCGGGGTGGGCCATCGAGCCCCATATCGGCGATCCGTGGGCGACAATTGCAGGTCGATGCCCCCTCCTGAGCCTGCCACCTCCTGAGGCTGCTGCCCCGGACTAGAAGAGCAGCAACGGCATCCTAAACATACACTTTCGGAGCTCCGCGCGGCGCGCCGAAACCTTGTCCATGCAGTTCTCTGCTCTTCGACGACCTCCCCCCCTCGCAGGTCCTCCCGCGCCCGCCTGCACCACCGGCGGCCGCTCCCCGACGCCCGCGCCGCGGAGCTTCGCTGGCTCGTCGGGCGGCGGCTCTCCGAAGCCCGGCAGCGGCCGCGGCGCGGCCGTGACAGCGGCACGCTGCAGGTCGTCCAGCTCCTGCCGGCCGCGGCCGCCGCCAGAGGGGGCCCGCCACACACCACGCTTCGGAGGCCCTCCGGAGGCCTCGGGAGAAAGAGAAGGAGGAGGGCCTCCCGCTTCCTCCTCCTCCCTCTCCTCCTCCTCCTCCTCCTCCTCCTCCTCCTCCTCCTCCTCCTCCTCCACTTCCTCCTCCTCCTCCTCCTCCTCCTCCTCCTCCTCCACCTCCTCCTCCTCTTCTTCGTCTTATTGTTAATATCATTATTCTTAAGATTACTCTTACTGCTCTAGTCTTCTTATTAGAATGAATAGTTTGATTCCTCGTTTAAATAATATCAGTATTCTTATGTTATTAGTAGTCTTATTGTTCATAATACATATATCAGTATTAACATTCGTTATTCGTATGGTGTTTATTCTTAGCATTCGTAGTATTAGTTTGTTTGTATTCGTACTGCTATGGTTATAACTGTTCGTAGCAGTCGTAGTAAGAGTCGAATGTTAATACGATTGTTAGTATGACTGTTTGTGTAGCCTTAGTATTATCAGTATGAGTATGCTTAGCATTAGTATTGGTTCTATTTGTAGTATTCGTTCTATTAACCGTTGTATTATTCGTCAGCTTATTAGTATTCTTCTTAGTAGTATTATTAATAGTATGATTATTGTTCGTCGTTTCATTATCATTATTACTGGTATTAGTCATAAGCTTCGTTGTACTCTTATTTGTATGATCATTCGTATTATGGTAGGTATGGTTAAAAATATTATTAATCGTCCTCCTTTTCCTCGTCCTCCTCCTCCTCCTCCTCCCCCTCCTCCTCCTCCTCCTCCTCCACGGAAACCCCACCAAGAAAACAGAGGTGGCACGCAGCAGCACCGTCACTGGGCCATGCTCTGGAATCCCACTTTACCCTGGGGGCTACAGGTCGAGGAGGAGAGAAGGAAAAGGAAAACGAAAACGACGGGGGAAGGAGGACGAGATAGAGACAAAGCAAATAAAAAAAAATACAATTTAGGTTGGGCGCACGCACTCGCCAGTAACACATAATGAAAATGGAGGCGGGCACCGCGGCACACGCGGCGCTGCTCCGCAGCGGCATGCAGGCGCGAGCCTGGACGTCTAAAGAGGCCCAAGGTCGGCTAGCGGATGCGAACACAACCGCGAAATGACCGTGCAAACAATGGCGATTGGGCCACCAATTTGGAGGAGGGAGGGGGAGGAGGAGGAGAAGGAGGAGGAGGAGCAGCAGCAGCAGGAGAGACAAGGGCAAGGGCGGGAAGAGAAGGGGAGGAGGATGCGGTTCAAATCCGACGGAATCGTCGCCCGATCGACTGATCGTGCGACTATGTTTCACAATCGGGCGCTGTGAAAACATGCGTGCCGCACGACGGCAGTCCGACCACATTTTGCCTAACGGGTCGGGGGCTGTAGAGAACAAGCGACGCGGGGGGGGGCACGATTTGTCCGCCCCGCGCGCGCAACAAACTGCAACCCGCTTCAGTCGACGCCCGACAAAATGTTACTTAAGACCGGGGTTTCGCATTGCAGGCGTGGCTACCCAGAAAGCAACGCAACGCAGCAGAAATGCCCAGTGCTTATGAGAAGGCTGCCCTGGCGGCGCAGTGCGAAAGAGAAGAGGAAAGGATCCGCCGTTCGACACTCGCGATGGTGACGCCCGCGGCGCGGCAGTGCCCCAGGTTGCCGCCTGGCTGGAGAACGTACGATCGGTCAAACCAGTCCGCCCAGGCAGCCGCCACCAACAGAGTGTCCGAAGTCATGCGGGCGCGGCGGAGCTCCGCAGCCCGGGCTGCAACCCGCAGGCCTCCCTCGGCACCGTTTTCCATCGCTGCGACCCTGCGTTGCGCTGCCCTCTGCCGCGCGCGCAGATCCGCGAAGCCGCGGGGGAAGCCTAGGACTTGGAGCTGCCGCAGGTCACCAGGGGACGTCCACAGGCTGGAGCCTGGCACTAAGCGGTTGGGAACCTCGGTTTCCACGGACCCCCAGCGAGGTGGCAGTGCGTCTAGCTGCATGAGAAGGCCGAGGACGGACGCTATGTAGACCGTGTAAGCAAGCGTTGTCAAGTAAAGGCCCCCGCCCGCCGCTCCCCGCCAGCTCGCCCTGTCCAGCACCCTGTCAAACGCCTTGCTGTAGCCTTCGCGCCCTCGCTCGGGCCCGAGGAGAAAACCGAGGTATTTGGAGCGCCAGGCGACTTGCACTCCGCCCCAGCCTTGGTGCGCGGATAGCACCCCGCTCAACACTATCGCCGCGTCGCTGCCGAAGAGCGGAACCTCGTCGTGATTTTGCCTCGCAGCGCGAGGGGTCCTGGCTCCAGGCCTCAGTCGGCCCCCGAACATCCCGGGCGCAGCTGGACCGGGATGTCGCGGGGATCCCCGCCGCGGCGACGAGGAGCCTCCCCGACGGCCCACCAGGTGGACGAAAAAAAAGGTTCGGAGACCCGCGCCGCCCCCCCCCCTGCCGAGGCCTCCTCTCGGGCCGGGCGAAAGGGGGGGATAGCCAAGGGCGGGCTTGAGAATCGGCTCGCGTGGCTGATTTTCCCGGCGCCTCCCGGCGCCAGAGGCGACGATGCATCGAGGCATGGGCCCCTCGGTGGGGCCGAAAGCAGCTGCACGCAGCAGATTTCGCACCCCCCCCTTTCCCAATCCCCCCCCAGTCGCCGGGGGTGTCCCCGAGGCGGCCCAGAGGAGGGGACCAGAAGATGCGGAGGAGTGCAACAGGCCCGAGGGCGAGGGAGAGGAGGGCGAGGAGGCGGAGGAGGTGGAGCAGGAGGGCGGGGAGGAGGGGGAGGAGGCGGCGCAGGAGGGCGAGGACGCGGAGGAGGCAGAGGCCGACGCAGGAGGAGGCCCAGGACACAGGACGAGGACAGAGACGAGGACTCAACGAGGGGAGACGTCGTCTGCGACGAGCAGCGCGCGGCCACCAGCACCGTCGCCAAGAACGTGCTGCAATGCACGAACTTCTGCACAGGCTCCAAATTTGTCCAGTGGGCCGACCCGAAAGTCTTGGCGGATGGCGCCTCCTGCAACTGTTACGAAGAGAACCAGTGCGAGATGACCCGGGCAGCAGCCAGCTTGGACTCGCGCGCCAGGGTGTACAGATGCTACGACGAGTGAGCCCGGCGGCAACGCGCGAGGGCAGCCCAGGAGTGCCCAGCGCTAGGTGGCAGCGCAGACGCCCCCCCCCCCTTACGGCAGGTTCGTGTAGTGCCGACCCCAGCGTTGGTTCTTGACACCGCAGGGATCGTTCAACCTTGAACGATCGGCCGCTGCCGCAACGTCCAATCGTTCCACATCGATCGATTCTGGGTCGCTGGCGGCGTTCAACCTTGAACGCCCGCGGCGGGGCTTATAATAGCCAAAACCAGCTGCATGCAGCAAATTTCGTACCCCCCCCTTTCCCAATCCCCCCCCCTTACCCTGCCGAGGCCACCCTGCGCCTCCCCCCGCGCCCCCCTCTCCCGTCCGGCGGCCCGCCGCCCGAGGCCCGCCCCCTCCCCCCCTTCCCCCCCTCCCGAGGCCTCGGCCCTCCTCTGGCCATCGCTCGGACGTCCATTCCCAGTGGTTTTGCTCGGTTTCGTGCGTGGTTTCTTCGCCAAATCATCAAGGATGTTCCTCGATGGTCCTCGCCGAGGCCCGCCCCCTCCCCCCCTGACCTTCCAGAGCGCTAAAAACAGCCCTCCAGACCTATAGACCTACCTGGGCTGCCTAAAACCTCGACGGGGATTAGGATATCGAGGTCCTGGTGCTATCTTTAAGCCCTCCTGTCGGGGAGACGTAAGACTAGGGTACGGGGGACTCGGGTTGGCCCGACGGGGCCATCATAAAAATGACGAGGCACAATCTGAAATTTGACGCGAGCTCCCGCTGCAGACATCCCACGAAAACTGGACCGTCAACATCCAGGACGCGCTCGTCCAAAAAACGTCGGCAAACCCGAGTTCCGGCTTACTCGGGTCTTGCGTTTCCCCGATGTAGACCCATCTGGGCTGCCGAAAACCTCGACGGGGATCAAGATGTCGAGGCCCTGGTGCTATTTTGTTAAGCCCTCCTGGAAGGTCAGGGCCCCTTCCCCCCTCCTCCCCAGGCCTCGGCCTTCCTGACCGCCCCGCTCCCGCCCGAGACGCTTCGAGAGGAGGGAGGAGGGAGGGAGGGAGGGAGGGAGGGAGGGAGGAGGGAGGAGGGAGGACCGCGCTCGCCGGCGGCATCCCCCGAGGCCCCCCGTCCTCCGGCGCCGAGCTGGGCCGGCCGCCCCCAGCGGGCTGCCGCGGCGGCCGGCCGCAGAACCGCGCGGCGAAGCCCAGGAAGGCGTCGGCGTCGGACTGGGACGGCCGGACGACGAGCGCCTGGCCGGCGGCGGCGCCGCGAGCTCGCCGCCGCGGCCGCCGCCGAGAGCTCTCGTCGCGGGGGCCTCCGTGGGGGCGCTTCCCCAAGGCCCCCTGGTCGCCAGAGGCGGGGGCGCGGCGCGAGGAGCTGGCCGGCACGGGCCCAGGGAGGGGTCCAGGGATCCGTGCCCAGACCCCCTCGGGTCGTGAAAAAATCACGACGGGAAGTTTTTCGCCATTTTCGGCCCCTGGGGGCCCTTACGCCTCGGGACCGTCAAAAAACGACTCGGGATGAAAAACCGGTCCCGGGGAAGGGGTCCGGACCTCTAGGGGCCGCGTCATGAAAAAATCATGACGTCGGTGGTCTGGGTGTGTCGAGCGGACCTGGGCGTGTGTCGGCGCATCTTTCAGGGGAGCAGAGAGGGGGGAAGCCGAGCTAGGTGAGTTCTCGCGTCATATCCGACGTCCTGCCCCTCCCTCCCATCCCTTACTGTGGCGTAGACCTCCTCTCTGCTCGCAAAGCCAGATGTCGAGCAGGGCAATGAGTTGATCCCGAGCAGAGCACGGCATAGCAGGGCGCAAAAGAGCACGGCAGAGCGCGCGTTGCATCGCAGAGCACGGCATAGCAGGGCGTAAAAGAGCACGGCAGAGCGTAGTGTGTCATAGCATGGCGTGGCGTTTCGTAGTGAAGAAGTGCATCCCAAAGCATTGCAACGCAAAAAATGGCATCGCACGGCGGCACAGAACAGAACATGGCATAGCATGGCGTTGAAGATAAGAAACGTAGCATGGCATAGCATGGCGTGGCACAGCGTAGTCAAGCACTGCGTATCCTAGCATCGCAGCTTAAGGCATGGCATCGCACGGCGGAACACCACATGGCATGGCATTGCATGCCGCGGCACGGCACCGGAAAGAATGACGCCCGCGCTGCAGCAGGAGCACGACTCGGCACGAGCGGAAAGGAGGAGGAGGAGGAGGGAGGAGGAGGGAGGAGGAGGCGCGGAAACGAGGCCGGCGCTGCCGCGGGAGCACGTCTCGGCACGAGCGGAAGCGCGGCCCGCACAGCCCGCGCGCCCGCTCGCAGCGCCGGCACGAACTCGGGCCGACGCGCCGTGCCGGGGCCGTGCGCCTCCGGCGGCCGCGCCGAGCGGGAGCGGGAGCGGGCCCGGGGGGCGCGCGGGGAGCAGGCCTCGCGGCCTGCGGGCTCCGCGAGGTCCTCCGGAAGGCGGGGGGCCCCAGGACACACAAGTAGATACACACACAGGAAGAAAGATTCCCCATAGTTTCCCAGATGTTCTGGGCTTCTGTCTTCCCCCCCACGTCCCATAGTTTCCCATCTTTTCTGGGGACTCGAGGATTGATTGTGTCTGTGTGTTCCTTTTCCTCCTGACAGAAGGAGGGGGGGGCCCCGGCAGAGGGCCGCCCCCCCTCGCGCGAGCCGCTGCCGCGCGCCGCCGGCCGGGGTTCGCGGGGGGCTCGCACATCCGGGCGCCGTGGGAACACCACGGCGGGCATCTCCGCCCATCCTGGGGGCCCCTCTGGCTTGCTCGTTACGTCGCAGCGCCTTCGGCCCCAGACTTGCGCGCACGGCGCACCGACTAGTGGGCCAATCTGCCATGGGCGAGCCCGCACGTAATAGAACCTTGGCCTGGGGTACAAAGCGGCACCGATGGTGCCAACACACATTTGCCTCACACACCCGCGCTCCCAGCTCCTCCAGCTTCGGTCCTCGGGACCCGCGCGGATCCATCAGGACTCAGAAAACCCGACCCGCACGGAGATGGGGCCGAGAGCTCCATTCCACGACGTCGGATGCCTGTGCGCAGAGGCGGAGGCCGCGGAGGCCCCAAGAAGTTCGAAAGTGACTTCACGGAGCTCGAAAGATACGGCCGCAAACCTGGCCCGCCCATCAATTCCCCCACATGCGCCACCACAGGCGGCGTGGACGGTTCCTCCCTCTACCTCTCCCTCTCCCTCCCTCCCCCCACTCCTGGGGCTCGAATATCTACCAGTCCGCTCCACAGAACTGTGCACGGCGTCGATGCGAAAATGCCGTTTTTGAAACAGTGGGCGCGGCGCCGAGGCGAGAGTGTGATTCCAGATACTTGGGGTTCCCAGACCGCCACTGGAGAATCCCCCGCTCTCGGCAGGGGGCTAGCGACAAAAGCTGTCGCCGACCCCAACCCTGCCCAAGAGGTGCAAATCACTTACGATTACGCAATTGTGCTCAACGATCCGCCACCGTGCCTTGTGGACGTTGAGGCGTGGAAGAATGCCAAGATCTGCCTGGCAGGATTTTGAATTCTAATCAGGAAGCCCCAACATCCCGTGGACTGTCGCGTGCATCCCCCCTACTCACCGAGGCCACTTTCCTGGCGTGCCCGATCAAAGTGGGTGCATTTTTCCCGCATGGCAGCTAATACCAGAACCCCCCAACCACGCGTACCCGCTCGAGGAGGGTGCACTTCTCGCATGGTAATTAATGCCTGAACCCCCCTTCGACGCGTGCCAGCTCGAGGATGGTGCACTTCCCGCATGGCAGCCAATGCCTGAAACCCCCATCCACGCGTGCCCGCTGGAGGATGGTACACTTCCCGCAGGGTAGTCAATGCCTGAACCCTCATTCCATGCGCGCCCGTTCGATGATTGCGCACTTCCTGCTACCTCATAGAGCCTTCATCCAACGCGGACCAGCTCGAGGATTCTACACTTCCCGCATTCCCAGGCGCTGCCCCCAAGCGCTCCAGGGCCTCCCAGGCCACGATCCCCTGGTAAAAACGCTGGATATACGAACCGAACTTCCAAGACGGCCCGCGCAGGCAACCCAGGACACCAAGATGGCCCAGGACACCTCGAAAACGGCCCAAGATGGGCCCAAGGCGGCCGAATATTGCTTCAAGACGGCCTAGGATGTCTGCAAGAGAGCCCAGAAGGGCCATAAGAGGACCTCTACCATGGCCCACAAAGAAACCAAAATCATTGACTTCCCTTGGTCTTTGAGTTAGTTTCGCATTCTGGCCCTTTCGGGCTGCCGTCAGCTCAGGACTGCTCAAGAGGACTTGACGATAGCCCAAGACGCATCCAAGACGGCTCCAAGGCGGGCCCCCGTGGGATCCACGACGGCCGAAAATGGCGCCAAGACGGCCACACGACGACCCACAGGCACCCACCATAATATGGTTGAGAGGGCCCCAAGACGGCCCAAGAGAACCCCAGGCAGGCGCAAGATGGCCCCATGAAGGCCCAAGAGGGTCCCTAAGGGACCCCCTTGGGCTGCCTCACGGGAAGCAAAGCCAGCCCCAATACGGCCCAGCGGAAGAACAACAACAACAACAACAACAACAACAACAACAACAACAACAACAACAACAACAACAACAACAACAACAACAAGAACAACAACAACAACAACAACAACAACAATCACTAGCACGTGGGGACACTCCGTTCTCACCAGTGCCAGGGTTTTCATAGGAGGCGGGCAATACCCCCACTTTGTGGGGGGGCCGGTTCAAGCTCTACCAAATTTCCAAACGACTCTTCGCCACCACCCACACCCAGCTTCCCGCCCTATGACGTTCGGACACTTCACTTCGTGGCATGCGGACGACCGTGGCTACTATTCAGGGCCCCGCGGCCGACGACGACGGCGTGCGCGCGCGAAGAAAAAACGAATGTGTCCCGCATGGTATTATTTGACAGGGATGATGGCCCTGGCAGGTGCGCAACCGTTGTCGCAGAAGTTCGAAAAAGTTGCTCGCAAAAGCCCGTTTGACAGAAATGTTTAAAAAGTGTTGGGTTTCCTACGAATCCGCAAGAGCGCGCGGGATGAGATTTTGACATTTTTTTGTTGAAAAACCATTGGTTTTTTGATGTTTTTATGTTAAAATCGCTCCGAACACTAAGCTTTTGGAAGGATTTCGTCTTGCGCGCGCGAATGTCCACTTTACCTTATTTTTTGCAAGGGATTCTTGAAATTTGATTATATTAGAACAAGAAATGTCATTTTATAGTGTTTTTTGCAAGGGAAAGCGGGGGGGAACAAAACAACCGGATCTTGATCACATCGAATTACCTGAGGCTTCCTCACGAAAATGATGAAAATGTAGCTGCGGCCTAGGCGGCGCAGGGGGGCCGTACACCAGGGGCCCCAACAATAATTATTCTTTAGAATTAATAATGTTCAACAACAACAACAACAACAACAACAACCACAACCACAACCACAACCACAACCACAACCACAACCACAACCACAACCACAACCACAACCACAACCACAACCACAACAGGGCAGAACAACCAGCTGGTGTAACCAGACCAGGTACACCAGTTCGCTCTTTCGCTCCATGCAGCGAAACAATATATTAATGTACCCTGCGCCCCCCCCCCCCTCCCCTCCCCCCCCCCCCCGTGCAAAGCAACGCCACGCAACGCAACGCAACGCTACGCGCCATACGGCCAGCCTAGAAAAAAACACGGGAAACCGTTGGGAATATTGTTCGGGATCCTTGAGGCAGCCCACGTACCCCCACGAGCGCATACTATGCGCGCCAAACAGAGCCGACCTCAGAGCTGCAGACTCCGTACGGGGAATCAATCCTGTCGGCTCCCTGGGCAGTCCTGAAGAATCCTTGGGGGATGCTACAGAATCCTCAGGGGATGCCATAACAGCCCCAGGGGATGCTATAGAATCCTGAAGGGGTGCCCTACGAATTCTCTACGGGATCATAACCCCTAGGGGGTCCTATAGGGCAGTCGGAACCGTAGCAGTAGTAGTAGTAGTAGTAGTAGTAGTAGTAGCAGTAGCAGTAGCAGTAGCAGTAGTAGTAGTAGTAGTAGTAGTAGTAGTAGTAGTCGTAGTAGTAGTAGTAGTAGTAGTAGTAGTAGTAGAAGTAGTAGTAGCAGTAGCAGTAGCAGTAGCAGTAGCAGTAGTAGTAGTAGTAGTAGTAGTAGTAGTAGTAGTAGTAGTAGTAGTCGCCGTCGTAGTCGTAGTCGTAGTCGCAGTCTCAGTAGTA